GCAGGAAATATGAAATAGAGTAGAAGTAATTAATTTGTAAACTTTCCTCTTTTCCCCCTCCCTGATGACTCCTGGTCTGCCCACACCTCTTACAGTCACTGCTGAGATGCTGCTATTCTGAAAAAGAGGAAGGAAAGCCATCAGCAGCTGTCCTGAGTTCTTGGTGACAAAGTGAGTGACAAAAGGGAAGCATTCCTGAGTGACCCCCTGCTTTGGAGGGAGCAGGTCTGTTCTGCTTGAGGGGGAGAAGCTGCACCCTGAGAAGGATGGAGATGCTCGTGAGAGCAGCTTTGCTTATGAGTCCTCTTCTCCTCTGCCATGGTGAGTCCACAGACAGCTCTCCTGCTTGGGGCAGTTCCTTGCCAGGCACTGGTCTGTGTGTTTGTACGGGAGTGGTTCTCTTTTGGGAATAGAAATATGGGCAAAGCCAAGGTATTTGCATACTGCTGGTGCAAATCCAGTGGCTGTGAAGTGTAGCAGCACAGGAAAGCTCTGGGAACCTGCCCCACAGTCCAGTGATGCCAGGTAGATTGTGAGGGTTGTTTCAGGGAGCATTGCCAGCACCAAGCACTGAGGGCTGGTTAGTTCTTGTGTTCCTGGGAAAGGGAAGATCTGAAAACCAGGAGAAAAGGATAAAGGGGTGTCTATGGAAACACAGGTTCAGGCCTAAGAGTGACAAAGATTTACTGGGACAAAGGTGATGGACCTCATTTTTATAGGAAAATTTAAAGTTTTAGACTTCTTTGATTTGTTGTTTAAGTTGCTTAAATTCAACGTAGCCTGGAAAAGCAGTCTGCTTCAGAAGGACAAACAGGCAGTGGGGGAGAGAAAACCATACAACCTGTGGTCTGCTGTGAGCTTGTGGTTCTTCTCAGGAAAGCCCTGGGGGTGACATGGGTGGTGGGGCAGACACCAGCTGGGACAGGCAGTGGTGACAGCCATGCTTCAGACAAGCCCCTTCCCTCAACTCTCAATCACCCACCAATTCCAGTCCTGTGCTCTACCTGTTGTTCCCATGGGCAGCTGGTCACCAGGCAGGCAGGAGCACCTGCCTGGTGTCCCAGCCGTGTCCCAGCCATCTCCCTTCTGACCTCCACACAGCATGGGGAATTTTTGTTAGCCCATCCCTGAACAGACCATTTTTCAACACCCAGACCCACTGCCTGTGTTTTTCATCTGGTGAATTCCTCTTGCTGATGATCTCACCACAGCTTTGGCACCCAGGAGCTGCCTTCACCACAGCTGCTTCTGTTTTAATTTTCTTTGTCCACTCTTCCTGCAGCTTTTCTGAACCTGACTGGCTCAAACGAGATCAAAGCTGTATGGAAAGGATCTACCACCTTGCCATGTGTCTATGTACCTGTAGAGGACTTCGTGCAGGAAACACTCACCTGGACTGTGGTACATGACCAGAGCTCTGGCACCATCTTTCGGAGAGATGGCTCTGGTGACCATGTCCTTTTGGCAGAGTACAGGGACAGAGTCAGTGTCCTGAAGCACTCTCCAGGGAACGTGTCTCTCCACATCCTGAGCACGGAGATCTCTGACAGGGGAACCTACACTTGCCAGGTCACCTGGAGAGCCAACAACAACAGCCTGATAGTAAAAGAGATCAGTACCAAAGTGGAGGTTGTTAAAGGTAAACACAAGAAGGAAGCTGCTCAGGAGAGGAAGGTTTGGCTCAGGAAGGCTTTTAGGGATTGAATAGACCAAGTAGGCAGTGACCACCTGCTTCAAACTCTGGCAAGAAGTAGCAGTAGGTCAGAGAGAGGAATTCTGCCCATGATGCTGTGCTTGTGACTTGCAGCTGGGGAGGATTTGTGGCCTCTCACTTACCAATTTGTCCCTGTCTTGACCTGTACTTGATGGCTTGATGTTTCTGACAGACACAGTCCAGAGGGCAAGTCCCTGGGATATTGCATTGCTCCTCTTTGACCAAACGTCAGCAACAGGTGCCTGATCTCCACTTGCCTGGGAAGTGGTGGTTGGGGAAGGAATGGATAAGGCCTCACCCCACAGAGCAGGACTAGTGTAGGGAGTGGCACAGCTGGTGCAGGTACAGCTAGACCTGTGCAGAGGTGAGGAGAGGGTGCTGCCCCTCATCCTCCCAGGAGAGCCCTGAAAACCAAGCATCAGCAATAGTGTGGCCAGCTGGAGTAGGGCAGTGATTGTCCCCCTCACCCCACTGCTGAGACTGCACCTCGAGCACTGTGTTCAGTTCTGGGCCCCTCACTACAAGAAGGACATTGAGGGGCCAGAGCGTGTCCAGAGACACAGAGACCTGTGAGGAGAGGCTGAGGGAACTGGGCTTGTTTAGTTGAAGAGGAGGAGGCTGAGGGGAGACCTCATTGCTCTCTACAGCTACCTGAAAGGAGGTGGTTGGGAGGTGGGTGTTGGCCTCTGTGAGTAACAACATGACTAGAGGAAACTCAGGTTGCCCCAGGGGAGGTTTAGAATGGATATTAGGAAGAGTTTCTTTACTGGAATGGGCTGCTCACGGAAGTGGTGGAGTCACTATCCCTGGAGGGATTCCAGAAATGTGTAGATGTGGGACTTCAGGACATGCTCTGGTGGGCATGGGGGAGGTGTGAGTGGTGTGTTGTTGTTTGGTTGGTGGTTTGGTGGGGAGGTTGTTTTGTTTTTTCTTCTGGGTGAATGGTCGGATCTTAGAGGTCCCTTCCAACCCTGACAATTCTGTGAAGAACTGGGGTGAGGGGGCCCTTCCCCAGCACAGCTTTGTCTTCCAGTTGCAGTGACCAAGCCCATCATCAGGCCGGGCGAGCTGGGGCTGGTGGTGCCCGCGGGAGCCAGGACCAGCCTGACCTGCGTGGCCAGCGGGTCCCCACCGATCCGCTACCGCTGGTTCCGGGGCAGCCCGGGGGGGACAGCCCAGCCCCTGGGCAGCCAGGCTGAGCTGGCCTGGGCCCGCCTGCTGCCCTCGGACGCCGGCACCTACTTCTGCCAGGCAGAGAACAGGGTCGGGGCGGCGCAGCACAGCGACACCGTCCAGCTGCTGGTCACAGGTGAGTCCCCGCAGCTGGGTGGAGCCCTTCTGTCATGGGGCAGAACCTTGAGCCTGCTCCCCTTCCCTGAAAGAGGAGAACTCAAAATGCTTTCACCCTCTGAAGCCGCCCTCATCCCTGGCACTGCCCCTTGGACTTGCCATCCTCTTTTATTCCCTGTATTTACTCCCATTCCTCCTCTCCAGAGGAGCTGCACCTGCCTGATGCAAAACTGGTTTGGGGTTTAAACACATTTATTCCTCTTCTGCCTTTTTGAAATTCTCTCTGGTTTTAAAATGCTGCCTGTTGTCAGGGTTAGCCAAGGCAGCAGGGCTTCATTTGGGCTGTGAGGAACATATGAGCTGTAATTCAGTAGCTGACAAAATCCAACTGGCCCCTGTTCCCAATGACTGGCCGCGCATTGAATGGCATTGTTGCTTGTTTTCTGGTCTTGAATGAAGCTGCTGAAGTGGGAGGCAGAACTGGTCTCTAGTGGCAGATGAAAGAGATGGAAAAGCTGCTTCAGACCTGTCTGTAAACAGTAAACCCTACCATGGACAGTTGTTTTGAGGAACAGCTTGTTTTTGTGGGATGTGGGAATTCAGACCTGGGCTACACTAGGTCGGTCAGTTTCTGGAAACTTCATATTTTTGGGTTATGTTTCACGTGAAGCTATGGTGCCCCACCAGTCCCACAGTAGGCTGTGGGAGTCAGCATCACGGACTAGAATGTTGACAATTGTTGACCATTCTTGCAGAAAAGAACCAAACAGACCTGGTGTTTGAAGGTACCTCTTGGACTCCAGAGGGCTCCACCACTATCACAGGTGTGTCTGTCTGTAGACATACATATATATATTGTATATATAATTTGTTTATATATAGTGTGTATATACATTGTATATAGTTTCTATCTAATGTGTTTATATAGTACTGTATGTTCTCTATATATATTCTTGCGTCTCTGTAATTCTCACTTCAAGAGTTTTCCTGTCTTCACAGCCTCGTAAAGGTGATGGAGACATTCTCTTCCAGTCCTACAGCTACAATCCCACATCTCCAGCTGTTAAAATGAGGAC